TGAATAGCTCCTCGATTGTCATGCTCTCCTGATACTTTTTCATAAATTTTGAATTTTTAAATTTCAATGAATAGCTCCTCGATTGTCATGCTCTCCTGATACTTTTTCATAAATTTTGAATTTTTAAATATCAAAGAATAGCTCCTCGATTGTCATGCTCTCCTGATACTTTTTCATAAATTTCGAATTTTTAAATTTCAGAGAATACCTCCTCGAATGTCATACTCCCCTGATACTTTTTTAAAAATTTTGAATTTTTCAATTTCAGCGAATATCTCCTCAATTGTCATGCTCTCCTGATACTTTTTCAAAAATTTCAAATTTTCGAATTTGCGTGAATACCTCCTCGAATGTCATACTCCCCTGATACTTTTTTGAAAATTTGGAATTTTTCAATTTCAGTGAATACCTCCTCGAATGTCATACTCCCCTGATACTTTTTTGAAAATTTTGAATTTTTAAATTGCAGAGAATACCTCCTCGAATGTCATACTCCCCTGATACTTTTTTGAAAATTTTGAATTTTATAATTTCAGCGAATATCTCCTCAATTGTCATGCTCTCCTGATACTTTTTCAAAAATTTTAAATTTTCGAATTTACGTGAATACCTCCTCGAATGTCATACTCCCCTGATACTTTTTTAAAAATTTAAAATTTTTCAATTTCAGAGAATACCTCCTCGAATGTCATACTCCCCTGATACTTTTTTTGAAAATTTTGAATTTTATAATTTCAGCGAATATCTCCTCAATTGTCATGCTCTCCTGATACTTTTTTGAAAATTTTATATTTTTCAATTTCAGTGAATACCTCCTCGAATGTCATACGCCCCTGATACTTTTTTGAAAATTGTGAATTTTTCAATTGCAGAGAATACCTCCTCGAATGTCATACTCCCCTGATACTTTTTTAAAAATTTTGAATTTTATAATTTCAGCGAATATCTCCTCAATTGTCATACGCCCCTGATACTTTTTTGAAAATTGTGAATTTTATAATTTCAGCGAATATCTCCTCAATTGTCATGCTCTTCTGATACTTTTTTGAAAATTTTATATTTTTCAATTGCAGAGAATACCTCCTGGAATGTCATACTCCCCTGATACTTTTTTAAAAATTTTGAATTTTATAATTTCAGCGAATATCTCCTCAATTGTCATGCTCTCCTGATACTTTACCAAAAATTTTGAATTTTCGAATTTCCGGGAATACCTCTTCGAATGGCATACTCCCCTGATACTTTTTTGAAAATTTGGAATTTTCTAATTTCCGTGAATATCTCCTCGATTCTCATGCCCCCCTAATACTTTTCCGAAAATTCCCAATTTTCAAATTCGAGTGGAAAAATGAAATGACAGAGGGGTCGGATTTAAAATTCCGTGAAGGCGGTTGTTATTCATAATGTGTTCTTTTACGTTCTCTCAGTTCATCGAACTCCTCATCGAGGATCGATAACAAAAGCGCAAATAGCCAAGAAATCATTTAATCATTCAATTCGATTCAGCGAGTAAAAGAGGAAAGAGGAAGGAATTGAGAAATCAGATTGTTTTTTAAAGGGCTTTTATCCAAAGTGGAACTCCTCGAGCAAGCGTCCGGTAAATCCCGATGAAAGTGCCTATCACAGCGAGGATAGTGGTTAAACGTCCCAAACTCTCCAAGTAAAATTCACTTACGCGTAGAAGATGAGAATCCAGAGCCCCCCATTCCACTTGGGATGTTTACAGTGAGTTAAGGAGTCCGTAAGGTCGACTAGTTTACTTGTAGAAAAGTAGCCAACCTCCAAGTGAATCTTTTGCTGTAACCCCTTCACCCCCTACGCCACCCATCGTTTCTCAAGCCCGTTTAAATGCTCTAGTTTCAAGTGAATCAAAGTTTCCCAACTTACCGCGTCGAATCTTGGTTCAAACTTTTCCACGGAGGTAATCTATTTTTTATACCTTTACTCTTTTTTTATCAACGCCACGAGATAAGAAACATAATCAATTTCAATTGACTTTAACGATCTCTTCATTCGGTAGAGGGTAATGGGAGTGAAACAGGAAAAAGTCCATTTATATCGGTGGTAGCTGGATTATATTTAATAAAAAAAAAGAGTTTTGATGGGGCACTGGAAGAAATTATCGCCCCAAGTTTATTATTTTAGATAATGCGGATTTGATTTTCTTTTTTAATTGAATACTCCAGATATTTTTTCCTCTCATCCAAATGCCCCCGAGAAGGCAAAGTTCGCAATCGACTCTCAAATCCATTGCGAAAAATGTCGAGTCTCGAGGGAGGGGATTATCTGAGGACAACTGCTTTATAAATTTGCATCATTGTTAAGAGGTCATTCAAATCGAGGTGCTATCTCGGCTCATATAAAAAAATAATAATTGTACGCTACTAATAAAATGAATAATAAAATAAATAATAACAAATGATAATAATAACGTGAAAAATAAATGACTAAAAGTGGATAGAAGAGCGACATCAACAGTGTATCACCCGCCACTTTCATTTTCAGTTTCGCGATGACATAACGCGTGACGAATTCAATCGGTATTCAGTTGTAATCGGAGTTCAATACGAGTCAAGAAGTTTACTATAATCGTGATAGGCTACGTGTATTTTCGCGAGTGAATGAGTGAATCTGAATGAATTGTGGATTAATTACGGTTGCATCAGAGTGATTGACAATGCCGGAGTACGAGCAGGAGTCGAGAGTGAGGTTAAGGCGTACAAAAAGTGTCACAAGAGCTGAGGAAATACAAAGGGCTGACTACATGGTGAGGAGATCACAACCAGATAAACCGTGAGTAAAAAAAAAATTCACTATCAAAATTAAAACAAACTCGGAGGTAAAGAATACCTGACACTGGGGAATAAATCCTCGTTTCTCGCCTTCTCCTGGTTTTTGACGACTTTTTTAAATTTAATGCCTTTGGTGGATTGTCTTTTTTTATGAATTTCGTGTCTTTGATTCAGTATTTTTTTTTATTCTCACTTTTATGTGTTACACGTCACATCGAATTTTTAACTAGGTGTGGGCATGATTTCATGTCACACATGGAAGATATCAGCCGGTCCAAAGTGCGCATGCGTCCCTGAGGTGCTCTCTGTCCTCTCTTTTTCCTCTCACTCTGGCGATCAGCTGTTTGCTATCGATTTTTTTTTTCCACCTCTCTCTCACACTTTACCCGCTGCAAAATACGGGAAAATTGGGCAAATTGTTGGGCTCTTTTGCTCTCCCGGTTTCGGGAGAGATAGGGGTAATAAAGTTTATTTTTCTTTCAACTTGGCGATGTGAATATTCATCGATTGTTTGGCAATCAGTGATGAAATACGATTTACGATGCGTTTGGCTTGGAGGGCAGCCAAAACCGCACACAGCTAAACCGCACACGTGGAATTCTCTCCTCTATTTAGGGGTGAGGGGTAGTTTCCATTCCGACGTTCTTAATTAACCATCCAAATACTCGGGGATCGGTGGAGAAATGGTCTCTCTAACTGGTAACATGGGGCTGATGCAAGCCCCATACGCGCCCTTATGCAAATCAAGTTGAATGCAATTGTCGAGGGTTTCAAATCATACTTGACGGTGCTAGTAACTTCGCTAAAATTCTCAATGGGAATATTCCGTAATGGGGTAATCCTTTTATGGGCTTTCCGCGTGCTTGGTACAAGCTGAGAGTGGAAAAAATGTGGGTTTGCGAATGGAGAATGCTCAGGACTATTTTTTCTGGGAAAATATCAAAGTTCCACTGTCTACACATTAGGACATTTTTCTAAGAACTGATGGAAATTATTATTGACGTAATTTGTCTGAAACGAGAATTTTTTTTCATTTATATTGAGGTCGAGGTTAATTTTTTTTTTATCAGGTGTAGTTCTCACAAGATTCATTGGCTAGGAAAATTCAGTATAAAATTCCTCCAAGCGTGTCATTCCATCATCAACTGCTGTAGCATATAGTTATCCTCGCAATTAAGACTTCACGTTGTGAACATTATCATTCACAATTAATGCAAATTCTCTCGCTATCGAAATTCCGAAAGTAGCGTCATGAAGTGGTGTATACATGCCTCATAGGCCAGAAGTTTCTCCAACCTGGTGGAGTCAACAATCGTAATTACGTAGGCTACTCTGAAGTTCTCCAGAAGCCAGTGGAAACTCAGAGTGTGTCTACCCTCGTCGTCTTCGTCGACGTGCTCGCAAAACTTTACTTCTATATCTTCATGGCATTATAAATTGCCGCGAAGAATCCAAAAAGCCGGTTATCACCTTTAAATTGTTTTCCAATCTTCTTTTTTTTTTATTCCCCACTGAGTTTTCTATTCGTTCTATCTTGAGGAGAAAAAAACTGCACCGGAGGAAAATCTCGGGAGCTTTTCCTTCAATCCCTGATCGGCCTTGTTGACTTTTTATGGCAAGCCCTTACCACACACAGACATAAACCAAGTTCGACCGATGATAAAAGTTTCAGTTGTTTCGGTATTCTTCATTGCCTTCTCAACTCTCAAGTTTCATTCGACTTCTATCGTCGTGATAAACTTCTTTCGCTGTCATCTCAAAGAAATTTCGCTCGGTGTAATGATCTCTCGAAAAAGGTGTGATTTTTTTTTATGGGAATTGCGAATTGCGTGAAAGTATAAACTTTTCGAAATTTCCCCTTAAAATTTTTAACAGCGACATCGCGACACTCAAAATTCCAAATAATTATGAGTTAGTAATAACAAATTTTATAGCAGACTGATAATCTCGAATTGAGGGCAAAAAAGGTCTTTAGGAAACGGGCGAGAAGACTCTCGATTCAAGTCATTAGCTTTCTCATTATACATGATTTTTAATTAATATTCAAAGCGGAGAGACGGCTCTTTCCATAAGCCTGGCATATCGCAAGAGACACGAAAGGTCTTGGGGAGAAGAAAATGGAAGACATTATTAGAGAAACGAAAGAAGAAATGGAAGCCTTCAGAACCCTCGGGAAATGATAATGACTTGCAAACATACACGAGAACTATTCCTCTGTACTTACTCGGAGGAGTACATCTGAGTACATCCGAATGCTCTCCGCTCCTCCTCTTCAATTTTTCTTTTTTTTTTTCAACTCTTTTGTCCTCCCTCAACGAGGCCCCTCATTTTTTCCCTTCTAAATGAATCTGGATATTTTATTTACTCTATCTCTAATGTTTGTCAAACACTCGCTGTTTTCCGACAGCTGGAGATAATTCTGGCTCTAGGGAGGCTTTGCCCCTGTGGATGCACGAATACCTCATTGGAGCTTTTCAAGATCTGTCATTTTCGAAATTGATCTATTACGCAAATTCATTACCCGAGGCAATCACGATGATGAGATGTGAATTAAACAGACGCCAGTGATTACAATTTGTATTAATTCTGTTAAAAATTATTCCCTCTCTGAATCCTCAATTTATCAGGAAATATGGATTCTTTATTTTATTTTCATTCGTTCATCAACTGCGGCTGTATGTGAATAATTGATTGTTGGAATATTATTTGTCTTCACAGATGCAAATTAATCCGTAATGCCAGTTGAGCGTTGAAACTGAATATTCCACGGAAATTTATTCAAAAGTTTCACATCGCGGATATGATTTCAAACTCATCAGACTTCATTGCACATAACAAATAGCTGTTGCTCTTTTTTTTTTTGTTATCGCACTGTTCCACGGCAATATCGGGGGCTATGAAAGAACCTAGAGTAATCTGAGTCCAGATCGATATTCCCATCAGCACCTAATAATTCCCTGTCGAGTTTTTCTTGTCCATTTTTTTTTTCTATTTTTTTTCTCCACGGATAAATGACTTTTCTGTAGCACATGGTATTCTGTTTCACGCCTATGCGAAAATTGAAATTCAAGTGATTATCTCTCCATTTCCGTGACACAATTAAATTTATATGAAATTAATTGAGAGAATTGGATTTTCCAGAATAAAAAATTTCGTCAAAGACTGGAGATAAATCCAATAACATTTTTTTTTTGGATTTTGAATGTGAAAGCGAAGGATGCGAAGAATGCGAATGAGAAGAAATTCCACGACGATTGTAATATTCAATTAAAGTCGAATTTTCATTGGTGAAAATTCACGAGCTTTTACGGGAATTCTAGGAAAATTCCAAGAGCGCAGAAGAGAAATTTAATGAGAATGTAACAGATAGAATTGGAGAAGACAGTCTCTCACTTTCTTGTCTCTTTTTTTTTAACGTAACTTGTCGGGACACAATGATGGCTCTTTCATACCCGGTGTAAGGCGATTACTCGCGAGTTGTCGAGGGTTTCTGTAACACGAGGAGAACATAAAAAATTTATCGAGGGCGTCCTAATGGAAAGATGACAAACTTGGGTGGGGTGTCATTGTAAAAAATGTGAGAAATTCTCATGGTTATTATTCATGGGTTTTAAACAACTCGTCTCTCTTTATCGCAGATGTCACAGGCCCAGGGACAGTCTATTCTCCTGGAGCTCGGGATTTGACAATTTCACTGGATTCGTTAATTGGGGATTTTTACTGCTGGGACTCGGAGGCGTTCGATTACTCCTGGAGAATTTCATAAAGTAAGTATCCATCATGGAGTAATCCGATCATTATTATTCCATAAACCTCCTCGTTGAGAGATTGACGAGTCTTTGGACGGGGAAAAATAGTTGAAGCTTTCATTGACGATATCTGGAGATTTTTTTTTTCAACCGAGGATTTATCCTCGGCAAAGGGAAAAATTGACATCTAACTCAAACATTTTTTTTTTAATCTCAAGCGCCATAGAGCTGGCTCGTTTTATTCTCCTATCTCGTTTTCCTCATTCTTTCATTTCTCGCGTTTATGATTTGATACTGTTTGATCTCCATCGATATGAAGGGTTCTTGATTACATCAATTTCCACTGGGAATGGACGTGGAGAATGAGGAAAGCCTCGATCTATATCAACTTCCCGCTGGGCACTGGCCTAATTGCTTCTGGCAGAGGAAATAAAATAGTGGAAGCTTTTTTTTTTCCCACTCCACTTTAATTTTTACTCTTATTTGCTCAGGTGATGTCACTGAAATTACTGGCATTACAGTTCACTGGGTCGTTTGGTATTTTCCGATTAAAATAAAGCCTGATTGAGTAAAGAAAAATATGAGAAATGGGAAGCGCAAGCTTATGGAATTTTCCCAGACAATCCAGTTTTATGCTACGTTGGGATATTAAAAAATTTTCATCATTGAATTCCGATTGCTCGTATTGAATAAATAATTCCCCGTTCTGGTGGAATATTTTAATCACCAGTGTTTGAATTTCAATAATGATTCACCTTCCAATTAGATAAATTTTAAATCACCGGAGAGACTGCTCGTTACATTCGGTACGGTACGATAAATTGATTTTTTTTTTCTTGTTTTTCACGCCAAATGAAAATGAAACGTGTGAATATGTTTTTTGGAGGTAATTATGACGTTATTAATTGCTTCCAGGCGGCATAAAAAGCACTTTATTAGTCATGGTTGGGATATTCAGGCGTTAAGAAGTTTATTATACCCTAATTGAAAATAAAAAACTTATCGCTTGACATGAATAGATCGTTGCTTTGCCATCGATGAATAACTTGTTTAAAATAAATGATGAAGTGAAATAATTAATTTTTTTATCGTGTCCGTCTAATCGCTTTCAAGTAAAAAGCTACGATATTTTTAACGTTCTCGTTGACGAATGGAATTTTTAGTTTTGAACTCGGAATGCCCCTCTTCGCCGAGGATACTTTCATCTTTAATAGGCATGTCAAATCGTTTTAAATGCAAATGGTTGGATATCCTGTTTAGTAGATACATACATAATAAGGAATAGTTAAAGTTTCCCCATAGCAGTTACTGGTGCCTTGAAAGTTTGCAGAATCGTACGCCCGAGGCTCATATACTTTCAATTTAATTGAATAAATATTAGTTTTGCGGAGGAACAGATTTAAATTGCCCCCCACGTGAAAATAACGTTTCAGTGATATTCACCTGATTTAATATGAATTAAATTTCTCTCTGAGTTATTCACGTGGTGAGTTTTCAATTCGCGTACGGCATTAATGAACTTGAATTTTCTGGTAATTATTTACAGATATGGAGTGCGGGTGGATCCAAGGGAGTGGTTTCTGTTTTTAAGTGGTAAAAGCGACGGCGGAGAGCAGTATCCATCTCTCATCCTTATAGTGTGTGAGTTGATTCATTTAATTATCATTTTTAATCGCATGAATTAGTCATCTTAGGGAGGAACAAAGCTATTAAATTTTCCACTGAATTCAATAGCAAGATTTATGCACAGCATTGCATCAATTCCTTTTTGATGAACTCCTGTGTGGGAACAGAATTAATTTTTCAAAAAGAAAATCTCCCGGAGTGAATGAAAATTTAAATCCATTAAATAATTACCAAAGCCGAAAAGTTTAATCTATTGAAAGCCTCGAGAGAATAAATTGGAGCTTCAAACTAAAAAACCAAAATACAGAAAACTCTGGAAAATCTCTAATTGAATTTTAGAAGAATTTGTATAGTTAATTCGTGTGGAAAAATATTTTTCCCTTCTACAACTTGAAAATAATAGATTTTCTGGCACTTGAGTAACTTTATGAGATGAGCGTATTGGAGTGAATTGAGAAAGAATGGGAAGAACGGTGAAAAATCTAAATTCGAATGTTGTTCTCCTGGTGCACACGGGGCGCGGAGTAATTCTTCACCATAAACAACCGAAACCGTGAAAATTTCAATTTTTTCCTCGAGATACGAGTCGAAAGGGATCGAGCAATGTACGTGTTTCTTGCGGGCTTTCCCGTAAAAAAATTCCAATAACACTTGTCGCACGTCGGTTCGGAAGAAACGTTTCAGAGTAGAAAAGAATGTGTATACATCCCTCTATATAGCTTTCCATTTACGTTTTATTCGCCTCGCTCGTATTTTCTTTGAATTTTCCCTGCGAATGTGAACGTGTCCTCGGTATACGAAAATTGTGCCTTGTGAATTTTCGAGGGGGATTGGAATGACGAGCAATAGAAGCGGTAGATAAGTCGGTGGAAATACCAAAATTTCATCAAATTGCGTTTTACGCTTTCCGTCAATGACGGCTAAATACATTTGATGGAGGATTGTTTTTATCGTTCGCGGTGTTTATTGCAGTGTGTGTGATTTCGTCATCATCATCTTTTCACTCCATTCAACCACGTTTCGTTAAGCCACGAAACGTCAAACGATTTGGTCATTTCCCGCCGAAAATTCAACACCGAACGAGATATAAATTGCACGATTTTAGTCTTTTCAATGTGATACGGTGTGATGTTCGTGTGTACTTCGGTAACACGAGTGATCGTTATTGCCCGAGAATTCGTTGGTTCTCGTAAAATTTGCAAATACCCAGAGGGGAAAATAAACGTTGGTAACGTCAATGGGTGATGTTCGCGCATGGATGGTTGCACTGCCACTTTTATCCATCGTGTTCCTCAAGAAAATTTATTTCTTCCTCTTGGCTACCATCAGCGTTAGCTTTATGGCTGTCAGCACGATTTTGTAACGAGTCGACCATTCACGGAAGGGAGGAAAAATGTTATTAGGGCTTTTAAAATTGGCGGCTACATCGCACAGTGAGAATTTCATTACCTCACAACATTGTTTACCCTTGGAAAAAAAATATACGTCATTTAAATGCATACATTGCACCGACAATGAGTATATCAATTTTTTTTTTTTTTATGAACGAAATGAAATGAATGAAAACTCTTTCAAGTATATATTTCTGCGGCTATAAGTTTATCTACTGTCAAATGCTCGGTATTAAATGAGAGAGAGAATTTCTGTTCGATACACCTAATAAATGCTTGGCAATGGGATTTGCCGGCCAAGTGCCGGCTGTTGGTCGTTTCACGGAAAGTACTTGGACCTCATCCTCCTCTTCCTCGTCCTCTCGCTTCGTCTCTCTTCACGCAAACGTGCGAGGCTTTTCCAACGGTGCAATCACGCTCTTAATTCGATTACTACCCCTCTAGTACATACCCCCACTGGCCCCACCTCGGATTAAGTAATTTATACACGACAACACCCGCTATGTTCTTCCGTTTTCGTACGTAACTAACAGCATGTTTCCACCTAACTCGTGTTGTGAGAGATTTCCAATAAACAACCCCGGGAATTGGATGTTTAAGTAATAAGTAGAACAAGAATAATTTCAATGTGCACTGCAGAAATATCCTTGATATTTATTCTCCATGTCACGAACAGAATAATTCTTGAAAAATCATTCGATGAATTTCACTCCACAAAAAATGAGTCTTTATTAAAATTCAATTCAATCTTTTTCTGAGTGAAATTTTGAGACATTTTTAAAAAGTGAAATTGAAGGATAAAATTTTCAACTTTTTTGTTTGTCTGATTGAAAATACTTGACTCTTTGATGTAAGTCACTTTACAAGAAGTGTTCATCGCCGTGTTCCTGAGGAGTTTGTTAATTGCCCGGGTAGCCACATCGCGGTTTAGGTACAAGAGGGTGGAAGACCAGGAGAGGATCTTGGTACCAGTTAATTACGCATCCTCGGTTACGAGTACGTTTTACTTTTCGCATAATTTTTTTTCTTTTCGTATTTTATCCTCGTCGTTCGTTTCCCTGTGAGACTTGAGAATTTCTGTAGGGCTTTTCACTCACAAGGGTTAGAGGACTTCGCCAATTACGAACGGCATCTGGTTCAGTCGACTGCACCAACCAATCTTCTTTGATACTTTGGAATACCATAATCTACTTTAGCAAACGTTTGTGGTGAGGTAATGGCTCATTACAAATCCACAAAGCAATTCATATTTAATCATTGATTTTTTTTTGTACGGGAATTTAATGAGTCGCGTATTTTTATTACTTATGGCTTTTATTTTTTATGGTTTCAGATTCCATCGTGCCGGTGGTGCTCTGCCTTCTCATCGAGAAAGGACTCTCATTGGTAAATATTTCAAGTTAAATGGCTCTCTAGATTGAATATCCCGTCCCATCACCGGTATAAAAATTCCTCTTAGAATTTCGAGTTGAAACACTTGACGTTCTTACTAGCAACTCGGGGTAATTACAGTTTTATGCGCGTCGTTATTGAAGAATGAGTCTTTCTCTTGAAACTTCAATTTACTTATTATTTTCAAGTGCAACGCCATTTTAATCTCATGAAAATTCAATTGTACTAATTAAAATTTGTGGTGCCTTGAATTTAGTTGATAAATAAGAAATTGCAAGAAGAATCGACTATTCTTATATAAATGGGGTATTTAAAGTAGACAGCGAACGATACGAAAAATTTAATTTTGAAAAATACGCGAGAGTATTGAAGAATTTTATTCGTCCCAAGTGACTGGATGTATTTTTTCAACTCAACAATAATAGCAGAAAAATCGAGAAACCATTGAAGTCAAACAATCGCTGTAGAGATTCCAGTATCACCAATACGAACCTTTTCCGATATCGTTTGATATAAATTCTCACAGAGAAATATCCAGGGGTAGGGAAAATGTTTTCGACAAAAACTTTAGTCTCAGATGGTCAATGTTGCACGACATCGTGATTTTATCCTTATATTTTATATATCCCGTGACTGAACGTGCAATCGGACGCTCAGTGCAGCTGAGCGTAATCTTGGCAAATAGTTTCTAGAAATGTAGCTGAAGTGATGCAATGGAAACATGAGTGTCTACTCGTTCGTACGACTCGTATAAAATCATGAACTCGAGCTTTCAACTCTCTGGATATACATGAGTAATCCGGCTTTATACATTATTCCTGACTATTGATAATTCACGTTGACGATGCTTTTGGGGTGCGTCAGTCTTCACATCGTGGTGAGAGAACTGTTGCTGTTTCAACTTCACTGTTTTATTGAGTTGACGCATTTTTCATTTGTATAAATTTCCACCATCTTGTCATTCCTCGGGAATTTTCGAACATCCTGTTATGGAAAATTCAGAATATCCTGGAGAAATCAAACTCAACTGTCAATTTAAATTCAGTCGCGTCACACTGAACTCCATTTCTTTCCCTGGATTTTCTCATGAGAATTTTAGAGACAAGTCCGTGAAATCGGGTACATAGATTTTTTTCAGCGAGAATTTTTTACGAATTGATTAAATTTTGAGAGGAAAATGGCTGTTTAGGTGCAGCAACTATCTGCATTTTGCAGGCTTTCGTTATTCTCACGGAATTATTGAACTGAATATTCAATCTGAAGGGTGGGATACTGAATTCGATGTGATTTTATTGATTTTCTGATGAAAATCCCACATTTCAACGGCGAGTACATGAAATGAGATAAAAATTCCACACCAGTGGCGGGAAAATGAAGGGAAAAAAAAAAGAGAAAAAATTCACAATACATATATGATTTTTCCGAGGGTATATTGCGTAGGATATGACCGCGTTGAAAAAGTCACATCAAGCTGTAATTAACACGATTAATTCTGATTCAAAAGGGTTCTCCTCGAGTTTCCGCTGAAGCCGTGTGAATTCGAGTGAGCACTTCATTTAAGTACGATTGACTCCCAGAACTCGAGTGTGTCACTTGCTTACTCTCGTGAAATTGGTGTGCAACTTGTAAAGAGCATAGAAGGTACATCGTACAACTCCATGTTTCCATGGAATTATGTGTCGAAATTAGAACGACATAAAAGAGAATCGAGAGTAAAATCACTAAGATGATTATATCCTTAATCGTATTACTTTAATCAATTAGTGAGAGTACAATGGGAATAATTCAACAACTCTGATGTACTTAGAAACGGGGAAATGGCGTTAATCCGAGAAAAATAAAAAATTTAAAAAATGGAGAAAGGATTTTTTAAAAATAATTGTCTAAGCGGTGAATTTTGTACGCGCGGGAGATTGGAATTAACTAACTGGATTATGTCACGTTGATTCATTTTGATAGTAGTATTCACCGAGGATTCTCAGCTGAGATTACCTCCGAGCTATTTTTATGTGGAAAAGTGAATTATTCATCATATTTTCCGGGGTATTTGACTGTGCTTATTCATTACGGGTATCTAATTGCGTAAAGTTGAATGTGGCGAGCGTAACTAGAGGAAATTGCCGTTTGTTCTCGGCTGTTCCCCTCTCGCGCACTAAATCTTCAAATCCTTCAAGATTCTTGATCAATATCTCCAATTTACCGGTGCTACTACTATTAGCTGTGTGCAAATGGGATGCACATGAATATTTCAGCTATGCAATTAGCAGGAGACTGCCAACAATTCGTGTTATCTCGCGTTGCGCTCAATGGAGAAGGAGAAGCTCGTTGTAAATGTTTGATAATGTAATTTGGATGTGCGCCGTACATTTCTCCAGCATGAAGATTCAATGGAATTTTAGAAGCTCGATGATTGATGATGATGAGGGAATTCGTTTTATTGTGATTTACGGTTCAGTGCACTCGGCGAGAGTCTCTTTCTCTAATTCACGTGGCTAAAAAATTTTTTTTTTATTTTTTTTTCATTTCAAGGATAAGACATGTGATAAAAATAATTTGAAATATTGTCATGTGGCAGGATATCATGGCTCATGGTCCAGGAATGGTGTTCCACGTTGTCAATCTTATCGTTATGGTGCTGATGCCGATGGTTGTCATTCACGTGAAGGAATCCGGCTTCAGTCTGAGTGAGTAATAAAACAAGCGTCAAAATGTCTACACTATCTCTCTGTTGGTTCCATTTAGTTGTAATATTTCAATGGATATTTAAATGAACTGCCAACAGTCCACTGCGGTTATCTTGGTGAACATTTCGCTGATAGAGTTGTCAGCTGGTCATCCAACCTGGCATTCTCCATATAACTTGGGTAGCATCCCGACGTGAAACGTTATACCCACAATCCCGTTTTCATGTCGACCCCCTTCTCCACACCCCCTTCATTCGCTATTCGCATTCGTTGAGAATATGTCATCCCTGAGTTTACATGCAAATCCAATTACTTGGGGTGTGCCTTGTGGCAGATCCATTGGATATGTTCAGTTTCTGCTTTTGTCACGCATACAGACAAATCATCCGGCTAAATTAACACGGGTAAATGTTGAATTTAATTAGGGATATCGTAATGGGAATGGCAATGTTAGATATTTTTCACGTCGGGGTAATGTCACAGGGATTCTCGTCAGGCTCAACGTTTGTCGTCATTCAGAGGAAATTCTGCTGAGTTAATTTTTTTTTACCGTAACCGAGTGAATTACTGCACTTGATATTTCACAAACTGTTCGAATGTGTATGTTATATTTTTTAATGTACATTTTTGAAATACCCATTTTTCCGAGTGAAAAAAAATTGGAGGAAAAAATTCGAACGTCATGGATGCGGATAAAATGGGACGATCAAAATTCGAATAGCACTAGACAATGAAAATTCCATGTTCTCGATTGAAAAAAATTATTTGGCAATTTTTGGAGAGTCACCCCTTCCTATTAGCATTCCTTGCATTTCAGTCGGAATGTATTAGCTGCAGGGGTTGAAGGGAGGGTGAAAGAAGAAGAAAGGAAAGTAGAAAAAGACCATTTGGTGGAGGTGAAAAGTTTCGTTTTGGCACGAAACAAGCGCCTAAAAGTTGGAAAGTCTTTGAGTATCTTTTTCGAGTGCATACACCCGGTCTTCTTCACCCTGCTCTTTACTCTTTCTATGTCGACCCTCTTCTGACATGCGAAACGACTCACGTCTGCACTCGAGGGCACACCTACTTACTTAGACCGTAGTTTTGATACCTCGTACTTTCTCGGGTGCCCATGGCTTTCAGGTTTGAGGATTCTTTTTCGGCATGACCCACAAGTAAATTGCAAGATGAAAACCCACTACTCGGGGGGATAACTTTTCACGGGATAGTCGGGTGGAAAATTAATTACGTTCGCTCGACACGCTGGCATTTTTTTTATCAAATATATAATTGAACAGCTAAAAATTTATTCGGTTTTTATAAATTTCATGCCTCTTAGTCGATTTTAAGTGCTCCAAGTATTTTCACGTGAAGTTTAAAGTGTAATTTTCCGAGTGCAAAAAAACTACGCGAAAAGGTTAAGGGTAACGAAATTTTCCGCGAATTCAACATCAAAGCCCATTAGACCGTGACGACAGCTCTCCACAATCAGAGGTATCCACCACCCCCTAATTCCAAAAAACAAAAGAGAGAAAAAAAAAATCAACAAGAGGTCTCGGCGAGGCGGTACCCCTGAGAAAAAACGAAAAATGTAAGGGTGAAAAAAAAGCCCTTAGGACCAAAGCGAACGTTAAACGAGAAGGGGCTCGACGTACCGTGAAATTCCACGAAGGCGAGTCACGAGTGGGTGGTGGAAGTGGTTGGTAGTTCTAAGTAGATGTTGGATAATACGTAGGCAACCTTAGGTGGGTTATAGGTTGGAAGCTAAAATCCAGGTGGCACACTATGAAGCCAACTACCCCTTCTGTATGAATCTAGACAAGTAAACGTAGCCAGCACAGACACAGTTGTACACCCTTAGTCAGACCTTTGGCCTCTTGGATAAGAATGTATTTACATATGCAACGAGCCTGGATTCTAGCCAGCAACTCCCTGTTAGGTTAACTAGCTCGTTGCACTATTGGTCTGAATGCACGCCTCTGGCCCGTTTACACCGGATAATCCCTCGGAAATTAGGATGAGAAAATTGGTTCTCAAGAATGTCAATGTTCCAAAGCTAAAGATGCCGCCGACAAATTTTTGAGAAATTTATCATCAAATTGTCGCGATAATTAGGACATTGATTATATTGCTCGGAGGCAACCTTTGGCTTTCAACCCGACAACACGTACGAACAATGAGGGAGGTAAAAGTGCAGTTGTACCGAATTACAAATGTTAATTTCAGTTACCGTGAATTTACCCACCGGTGCACAGCTAATTCATGCAAAAATAATTAACTCAGCATTTTCGTCATAACATTCCGAAGTTCCTCGGGACAAATTAAATTCTGCCGCTTACTCAATTGTCTAATTGATGGTTTTATATTCAGTCTTGGATGGGGAGGAAAGTGGAGGGTATAAGTGCTCGGTTGATCTCATTTTTCATCCACTTGAGGTGAATTGTTTTGGAAGTTGTCATTTCACACTATTCGCCTGACGTACTTGAATCAATTTGGATAGCCGAGTCTAGTGTCTGGGGTTGAGATTATTAGGATTTCATGAGTATTTTGGTTAACCAACAACTTCGGGCTAAGGGAATCTTGGTGGATTGTTGGTGCATTCAAGGGGCAGAATTGTAGTCGGTTTCTACCAGAATTTCAGCTATGCTGAGGTACGGTGGCCTCGGCTTTTTTCCAGCAGCTGGAATTCTCATGATTTATCTCCAGGATATTATAAAATTGATGAGGATTATTATTACTCCCTGAGAGAGAGCTGCCACTGTATATTGTACTCTCGGTACAGGCACTATTGAATTAACTGCAGTGAATTAGAATTGCGTGACTTTTCCGAGAAATGATAAATCATTTTGACAAATTTTTTCACGTCATCTCTCAAATTACAATGAGATGGTCTAATTTAGCCGTTGACAGGGCCCGTGATGGGGTTTTGCCTTTAATTCGAAAACGAAATGCACTGCGTGTGCCAAAATAGAACTTTACGCAGGATAACTCGCCTCGGTGATTACACTTCCTTGCCAGCTGGATACAGTGCCAGAGATCCAGACAGTTTCTTGTTGCCATTCAACTGCATAGTTTTACTATACCGCGATTTTGTAGGACGTAAGTAGCGAATTACTGCAACGGTATGCATCGTGACAGGGAATAAATCCTTGGAAATTCTAACATTATAAATACCAAGTTTTTAGCTCTTGGAAGAATAAATTGTCAGAGCCATCGCCATCCATTTCACGTTTTTTTTTCCTCTTCTAGGAGTACATTCGAATTTGCAATTAAATTGACGATTACGTATTCAGATATTGAAATTAATACGAGACTTCTATAACTGGGGAGTTCTTATACAGCGGCAGACAGCTCAAATTATTGGTGTGGTGTCACGTCAGCCACACGTGCGCATGACATACCAGATTATATCACGAATTTTTTTTTCACATACCGTGTGCCTTATTATATGGAACTTTTGCCTTATATGGTGGGGTTTGTGTTTCCCATCGGATCATTTTTTATCCGCCTAGTCGATATTCGTCCCGGGAACAAATTATTTTGCACGGGGCGCAATATCGAAATTTTTTTCCTATCTCGTATCAAGTGATATGGAGGACTCGAGTTTCCATCGGAAAAATCCACTTTGAAAAAGTTATTAAAATTATAAAAAAATTTTGGGACGCAGGAGAATTTGTTGGGGAGAAAAACGCTTTCCGGCTTTCATCTTGCTTTGGGACCCATAGTGCCGAGATAATCACCATTTTTATAAAATTTCAAAAATGCGATTTTCGGACTGAGGTTTGGTGCATTAAAAAATACGTAGATAGATAAATAGATGTTTATCCATTGATGCGTATTCTTAATTGAAAAACTACGGGTCCCCGCATATAGAATGTCTCATTCGGTAATTTCAATCCTCTCAGACATTTATTAATTCCTCATCGTCGAAAAAGTCAGCAGTCAGTTGTATGTGATCGATTAAATGTTTCCTCCGTCGCAGGTTGGAAGCGCATTCGATCGATCCCAAAATAAACTGAACCTGACAATGACGACTGATTTTAAAAGAACTGAAAATATTATTTCCACTCTCGAGTACGAATCATGCGAAAAACAATCCAATGAATATGATTTTGCCAATTTTTCCCTGTTATGCCAACGGTTTATTGCACATTATAAATAAACCCAGTTGTCAAGGTGCATAAAACAATTCCTTCGACTGTAAATTTGGTGATGAACAACGCTCATCACCATGAAAAAGTGGTAGATGGTGTCATTAATGAATTATCATCAACGACTAAAACAATTACGCGCTGTTGGGGTCCGGTAAAATAAAGCGGATGGCCTGTGATAAAGGTTTAAGAGTACTGGAAAAGCTGGGCACGATAAAATGTATTCTCGGGAATTTCCCATGGGATAATCAAGTACCTGGGACAAAGGGACTCCCTGAGTGAGAATACGTGGATAGGAATATACTGTTGAGAGAGTGAAATGGAATTATTTCACTGTCGGGGGTGCAAGTTTGCAGCGGTGCGAATGCTTTTCAGACGAAGGGTAAAAGGAAAAGGGAGATGATGATGATAAGACATCAGTATTTCTTTCTACTGTTCAACTTGAAACGTCCTGTCCTAGCGGAATGTCACAATGGATGGATCTCAATGCTATGATTCAATCTCTTCAACGAACGCGCCCTTTTTATTCTATTTATATTTCTCGTGAAATAAAATGCACAGAAAATTTGACTCACCATCTCACGCCTCCATTAGTCCTCCGTTTATGATGAAATTGTTCTCTCATCTCAGAATATCAACATGCCAATTTACTTTTGATTTGCAGTTGGATCGATGTACGTTTGCATGCTCTATGCTATCTTATTCCTGAAGCTGTGGTCCTACGTCCAGGTGAACATGTGGTGTCGTGTGAGCGCGAAAAAATCAACGAGTCAAACTCGAATGCGGAGACAATCACTGTCTTACAACAATCTACAGGGTAAGTGAATCCATTGCGGTAATAACATTTCCATGTCTCAGCAAAAATGATAACTGAAAAAAAAAAAAATTTCCATCATGTAAATAAAGCCGAAAAACCAAAAATCACAGTAGAAAATTTCCAGAGAATGTTCCTCGTATAAATTTTCCTAATTGATGTTTACAAAATTTCAATTTTGCGTGGGTGTAATAAATTTAATTGGCGGAAGTAATTTTTTGTTTCGGTTAGTTGTGTACGTGACGGATTCAGTGGGCGAGTAATTTGAGAAGCTGAGGAGTGAGAAAAATAGCTCGAGTCATTAGATGCCAGCTAAGATTGGAAATTAGTCGGGTACATACGGATTTCAATGGGCGTGCCTCTGGCATTTCCGCAATTTAAGGGCCCACCCCCATCCGAGGAACAATTGTTCAACGTAAAATTGCCAACTCTGGTTCGACGAAAGAAACTAACGACGTTGCCACACTCTACTACCTAGGTAGTAGAGTTAATTTTCGAGATTCCTCTTACGTTACCCGGGTCTTTTAACGGCCATACATTGTGGCTACGTGCTTTTCTCCACTTTCACCACACCCCCATTTCTCAGTAGGCGACCTTCGAGATATATGAACCAGGATGGTGGTTCTTGGGCACCCGAGGAATCCTCGAGGTGCAGCCCTGGAATTACCGGCCATCCCGTACTTTCCCTCCTCCTTTTTCTCTCGGAGGCGTGATTGAAAAAGGAGGAATAAAAAATTTAATTTATATCCGCAAAGTAAAGAGCCTAATAAGAGCAATGAGGAAAGTTAAAGAAAATAAGAAGGAGGTATTTACTATTTCTCTGAGTCACCGGAAACGCTCAACTTTCAAAGGGATAACCAATGAAAATGAAAATGATGAAATGATTTCCCATTGAATTTTTTTTATTCGTCTTGAAATTTAAATTTTTCATGGAAAACGAGTGAAATTGGACTTTGGAAAAATAGGGGGTATCGTCTGACGGACTTTTAACAACACGCAACTACCCCAACATCATAACGATCGACATTTACGTGGAATTGAGCTGGTGGGTTATATTTTCTGGAAGCCGTAGAATTGAAATGAGTCGACGACACGCAATCACCATGTCTAACCGGGTGGCATTTGCTCGATTGCTCGTCTGACTCGGGCTTATTTTTTTCTCCCTATTTAATTCGTTTCACATAGAATAAGGGGGTGGAAATAAGGGTGGAATTTTTATGTTGAATTACCGGGGCGAGGGTAACGGGCCGTCCACGATGAAATTCACCATTTCAATAGTCAACGGTAATAATTCGAAATACCATATTGATTCAATACCTTAGCATTGAATGTGCTGATTAAGCAGATGTCATTGCCGGTAAGACGGGTAAGGAGGATTCGATAAGACGAAGGTCTAAAAAAAATGCCGAAGATTTCTCGTGCAGATCGTCATGCTCACAGAGATCCCAAAGAAAAACGGTGTGGAATTTCATTTGAGCCGGATGCCTGGTGCTCGTTACGTCGTTGGCACGTAAAAGGAGGAAGGAACTGGGGAATGAGGAATCTGGAGGCGTCAAAGTGGCAGGGGTGGAGGGATGGGGGGGAAAAGCATTGCGAGACATCGACAAGGCATCCGTGGCGCGTAGTTGTTGGTAATCCCTCAGTATCTGAAGGTTTGGTCCGTGCCATATTCAAGGAAAGTGAAGGTGTTCGGTGGAAGATTGTTAGGGGATGAGAAAGAAGATGGAACGGATAAATTTTCCAATTTGACCTGTTAGGACTGTGCCACCCGCTTTCTATAGTCAATGCACTTTTTAAAGCTCCCTTTGCCGATCTCTCCTTGCTTGATTTGAATTACAAAGTGGATTATCCATTGGATTTGGTTAATTGAAGGGATTCTGTCAGTAGGGATTTTTGGTTTTGACTCGCGGTGTTTTAAAATTTATCAAAAGGAATTATCAATTTTTTTTTAATATTGATAATTTGTGCTCAACAGCTTCGTCGGTTCATCAGAGTAGCAGTGAATTGGATGAAGTGTGGCATGATGCTAATGGATCAAGTCTTTTGGTCCAGTATCCAGATAATCTTCACATTGGCGATCTTTTCTACTACATACTCGCGCCAACACTGTGTTACGAGCTAAACTTTCCACGTACTCAGAGAATTCGAAAAAGGTAACAACTGTTTTCAACATTTTAAGCAACTTGGAATGTATTCGTAAAAAGTTTTCGTACGATCGATCACTCGAATTGGTAAAAGGTCAGTTCGATTGAATTTATCTGTGTTCATTGAACAGGGCATACACGTTTATTCTGTCTGGAAACTAGTGAGAAAATAGGAGAAAAAGGTAATTGGGGGAGGAGAGAGAAAACTTTACCGTAAAGTTTTAGTTCCGTAAATGAGCGGCAGTCCTTGCTCCGTGCCATTTCTTGCTCATCTACAAGTCTCTCTTGCTCGTTCCTTTCTTGTCTGCATTACACAGAAGTCTTTTCACTTTCTTCATTTTCATTTCTTTTCCTCCTCATCGTGCTTGGTGTTTCTTCCTTTTTTTTTCCCTCTCTTCATTTTTGTTCGCTACAATTTTTTTCTTTCCCTCTCTGAATGAGAGTCAGAAGAGTAGACACGACGCATTGTAGGGGACCCAATGTGAAAAGGCACTCGTTGAATTAGATTCGAGTGGATGCCATTGTTGTAAGACCAAGTGGGAGGCAACAAACTCTAGACAGTTATACCTAGCAGTGATGCATTACTCGTTGCACGTTCGACCTGTTTTAACTGGTCTGTGTGGTACTCGAGGGGACCAGAAAATCCGAGGAAATTTTCTTTTTTCCTCCACCAGTTGAGGCAACCAACAATTTGTATATCCCCTCTGATTTCAGGTTCCTGATAAAACGAATATTCGAAGTATTCGTTGGCTGTCAAGTGGTAATGTCCCTCTGCCAGCAGTGGATGATACCATCAGTGAAGAATTCTCTCATTCCCTTTACGGTGAGTTTCCCAATTATAATTAACATGGACATTAGACCAAGGAGGGAGTCGATGAAACCCTCCAGGTAGTATTAAATACAACGGCAATATCAAAAAGCAATGGAAAGTCCCTGTATTGTTAACCCAAACTGTCTGCATCTACGGCTAGCCTGTGCATAAATTCCATGGACAAGTACATCTACAAGACCCTCACGTATTAGGTACCTGATAGACCGCCTAGTACACGTACTCCAAACTGTGTTCACCACCCTTTCGCACGTCTGCTTCAACCCTGTATATGTATTCAAAATAGGTTATACGAAGTCGACTATGGCTGAGGGGGGGCTTAGCCTGACAACTTCCCAACCACAATTCATCCGAAAACCCTAAGCTAAAGTTTTGCGGGTTGTAACAGGCTTTACTTGTGGGTGAACGCGAGAACGTGCTAATCGAGCGATCGGTGGAGGTACTTTTAACCTCAGAGCTCGAGAGATTTATCGTATCAGTCTTGTGTCATCAAATCTCATCTCTCATTTTTTTTTTCATACTCGTCAGAGGTGATCGTCTAAAGTGTCCACTCTGATGACTGGATAACATTCATTATTCTATCGCTTTCCATCGCCAGGTAAATTATTTCACTGACAGAAGAGTGAAGTATGTGAATTTTTTTTTTTATACTCATTTCAATTGGAAGGTTGTTTATTCCATTGGTGAATTTTTTATTATTGTAATGGTATAATGCACGGACGCCTTGAGAACGAGTCATCGAGTCGAAATACTCGTGAATATTAGCAATTCACCTTCTCGACATGACAATAACCTGAAGACTCCTGGTTTAAACGTAAAGCGTGATAGAGGGGCCGTCCCTCGAGGCGGCATTATTGCAAAATGGATGAAATATCGCATCGATTTCCCACCTTGCAAGCGATGCCTCGATAATCCTCTCGTCTTTGTCCCAGGATGAGGGAGAAAACAACCAGAAAAAAAAAACAGAAGAAAAAGCAAGTTGCAGTCATCTTTGGAGGGCTGCAGAAGCTTTATGAAGACTTTTCCTGTTTATTTTTCAACCTTCACTTTTTTAGTTTTCTCGCTCTCTGAGTTTTCAACTCATTTCTCAATAGTTACGAGATTGCTTATCGTGACTCGAAGTACTCGCGACATATTGCATTAAAAAAATTGTTTGGTGGTATAAATTCAGGTGCGTTGAATTTTCATTGGAAAGGATGGAGGCTACATGAATTAATGAGTGAGATAAATTCCATGTGAATCTTCTACTCTCATTATTTGAAGCCTGCGAGGATGGTCTTAGGAGATTACCGTAAAAACCTCTTTTCAGCTGAGAGGTAGAATTAATAGAAGAGCCCTCTTACGAAAATTACACTCACCACTAATTTTAATAACAATTCCTACAGCCTTTTCATTTCTCATTCCATCCTGATAATGAACAAAGCTCACTTTATCCGGTCCAAAAAGGCTTTTGAGTATTTTCACGTCGAGGCATTTTCCGTAGCCTTTTAATTTTATTTATACTGGATTCGTCGACTCCACAGGGCAACCCTCGAACTCAGAGGCGCAAGGTCTTCTCCGTTCTCTGGGTAATCTCGTCAGTCCAAAAGTCTCGTTTTCCATTTCCTGTTGTAAGGCCATAGGAATAATAGAGATCAAGGCGAAAGAACGGAGGGAAAATGAGATGCTTCCTCCGTGTGCCCCACGGTAAAGTCATGAATATTTCCTCGGGCTCAATAGAAACATGGAAACTCGAGGTTAAATTTTGTCTGGGGCTATATAGGGGGTAAATTCAAACATCAGAAAGTTTGGTGGAACATCTTGAAAATAGCTGCTGAAAATTTCTTATGCATTGTCTTGTGCTCCCGTGAATTTTTTTCCTTGCGTGTTTAAGGTATGGAAAATAGTGAGAGCGTGCGGTAAAAAAAGGGAGCTAAAAGTGATGAAAGGGATCGAGAGACGATTTTCAGGAGACATCGTAGATACGTCTGAAGAATCTCAGCAACGATGAACGAGGTCTCTCCAACCTTTCAACATCGTCCGGCTTATTATAACCCTTTGTGGCTGTTTTCGAGACGTTATACATAGCCGACTTGTGCATCAGCTTTGGCTCACGATACGAACACCAACTTCGATCCAACTATAAGACCCCAGAACGCTCAACTCCATCCGTCTATACGTACTTTAGCCGTTGCCTTCGCATATCACAAACTTCTTCTCCTTCTTCTCCTTTTTTTTTCATCTTTTTTTTTTATCCCGTCCTCTTTCGTTGCTCGAGGGCGCTTCAAGTTTGTCGGCTGAATGACAAAACCCCTTATGATTGAGTCCCCTTCAGGCAATAATAATAGCCGATTGATTTTTTTCCTTCGTCATGATTGCCGGAGAAACCGGAAAGGAAATACAATATGACGATAAATTCTCAGAATGTAAGGAGATCAAATCCCCTTGTATTCGAAATATTCGATTCGCATGGTCTTCAACGACTGAGGTTGTTAAAAATGATCGTGTACTCTGTATTTTCTGTTGTATTTTTACGAGTAATGGTTTTTGTAGATCTCAAATGTATGTTATGGATATAAATTTTTAATTTGAACAATTCGGTCTTGCCTTTACTACGAATTATGGAATTATGGAATTTGGGATAAATTGCGGTGAAATTTGAGCGGTTACAGGGTATGAGTAAAAAAATAATGTATATATGCACCAAAGAAATATTTGTTTGCTCAGTTACGTGAGGGGGCACTTTGAAACGAATTTTTGTCGGTTTTCCAGAAAGCCAGAGATATTCCATGCGCGGCCGCATTACGGCTCAACGGATGGAATCCACAAGGATATTTCGTGTTACCGTTGGTTGTACACCTGTGTATCCGTAGAAACACGCGCGCCACGGAGTTTTGGGTCAGGGGAAATGGGGAGGAAAAGGGGTGGTAAAAGGGGTAAAAGGACGATACTGAGAGCAAAAGCCAGCTCTTGCATATATATACACACCATCTCAAGGACCACAAGTATTTCCACTATATTGTGTGTGAGTCTGTATTTTCTCTCCCTCGTGCTTGTAGTTTTGCCACGACCACGGGTACACAAAACAATTTTATCCAGTCAAGAATATTAATATCCCACGGGACTCACAGATCCCACAAGATACTGTGTTTTACACTGTTGCGCTCCAAACTTATGGTGAGGTTGTTTTTTTCTTTTTATTTCATTTTATCGGGGTTTGCCCTTTTTTCCGGGTGATTTTTCTTTTTCAAAAATCTGTATTATCTTGACGATCGTATATTCCGCATTATCCGATAAGTCGAAATTTCTGCGACATGATTTTTATTGTCGGTATTGTTATTGACTTTTTCCACTTGTCGTAGGAGAATTTTTTCGAATTTTTGTGTGCGCATGGAGTTCGTCGATCGGTGATGTTTTTATTGAAGATACTCATGTTCTCGGTTGAATTCACCCTCTCGAACTTTCATGTCCTCATAATAATGATAATGCAGGTCTCGCATTAAAAAAAAATGAACGGAAAAAAACGGCATCAAAGGCCATGAAGTATCATGTTGAGAACTTTGAAAAATGAGAGAACTCAGACAAAAAAAAGGGAGAGGGGATGTATGCGGGGTACATTCAAGGTATGACCTTAATTCCACCCGGAAAATGGCGCTGACAAGCGTCAGATTACAATGCACTCCATGACCCTTGGTTCATCCTTGTGCAGCAAACTCGACGAGACGAAAATTACGGATTGCTGGATCTTTTTTATAACGACAGGATACAGCTTAATTCTAGGAATAATTGATGAATTCCCCGTATTTATAGATACTCGTATTAAAAGAAGCGAATGAACAATTGGCATGACACTGGTTGTACGTCGGGTCGAGGAGTACCCCGTTTCCAATTACCAAGTTCCATCTTGGCAAGTTAATGCCATAGGTTTTTGCCCACCCCCTTTGTTTTGCAATATCCCATTCTTGCCTTCACTCCCAGCATCACATCCCCCTAAATTCATTTCCCCCTCCAAATATCTCAGCAAAATATTCCCGACTAGTCACTTATTATCATTATTTTCCTTGAAAACTTCCACTCGAATTAACTTGAGAATATTGTAAACATTTTATCCTTATTATGTCGTTCTGTTACAGAACATGGATGTCGCTAAAGCTGCCGAGAGACTTCTAAAACTCGCCGTAAGTACAGGACAAATTCATTTATCTTGCCTTCTCAGTATCAAACTTTAGAATGTGGTTAAATTTTCTTTTTTTTTCTTAAACTTTCGGAAACAAGAGTAAGAACCGCCCCAAGTGTGGCATTAAATTTTAATATTTAATACGGTGATGGGGTGGTGAGGGGGTAAAAAACGTGGAGATGGAATAAAACTTTATGAATTCCACGTACGTTGAAACCCATTAATACGCATCCATGGTATCCGGGTAGATTGCATCGGTAATGTCGGTGGGGTATATCGGATTTGTGAATATTGCATGATCACGATGTATGAGTTTGCAACAGCGTAAAGCGTCACGCTGAGCATGTGTCGTTAAATCCTGCGCGAAATTGCTGGGGAAAGATAGCATCATCTCTCTACATGTTGATGCATGCCTGCGTACTATTTTCCATTACTCTGTTTGCCCCTCGGAATTGTCTTGGCGATGTTTATAGGGCGAACAATGAAGTCCAATTTTTTTTTCTCTCTGTCGTTTTCTCTTTCTCTCGGTTTTTTTTCTCGTTGAGTCGGGTGAAGTGAAAACAGACGTAAACTGCTGGTCGAATCATCAGGGGGATTTGGAGAAAAAAAGTGGACAACTGCTGGGGCAGTTTGTGAAACTCTGGCAAGACGGGGAAAGAGCATCGTTGGCGTGACTTGGACCGTCGATTCTTTTCCGGCAGTTTGCGACACGTTATGAACAACTCGGTGGTACAATCCAATGTGTCTTCTGCACGGAAATAAAAATACTAGAAAATATTACGTGACAGTATAATCCCATGCTGCAAAACTCGATGCTCCTCTAATTATCAGGACTTATCGGTTTATGTTTCAAGTTTTTTCACTTGAAATGTCAAGTGCAATTTTGTCTCGGCGAAATTTCTTTACGAGTCGATAGAATTGTTGCTCATCGAGAATCGGAGAAAAAGTCATTGAGAAGTCGTCGGTACCGTCAAGGTACAGAAGTGAAGAAGCAATGGCTGGGAAGAGGAAATTAAAACGTCTGTGAAACTTTTCCAATGCTTGTCGAACCCGCGCACATGGCCAAAAGAAACCACCGTGGATGAGAAATAAAAGGTCTGTACGGTTGAGAAGTGGTGAGCGTGGTGGTGAATACTACTGAAAATGCCCAACGGCGGACCTGAAGACTTGACCGTACCTTTGTGTCCAGCAGCATTATTGAGGGTCGTGCAAGAAGAGATGAGGGTAGCTATGGAATGTTGAAAAAGCCAGGGCATCTTTGACGGGTTGGCTGCGGTGATCCAACAGAGAAAAGTAGTAAAAGGCACCTCCACTCATATATAAACCAAATATCTTGAAAATTCTGAGACGTGAAAAAGACGAGCTGAAGAATTGTTGAAACTTGCTACGTTCTTCCTCACTATTTTTTTATTCTTGTTTACTCTCCTTCGATCCCTCGACTCTATTTTTTTCCCCCTTTTTTCGTTTTTTTTTTCTCCCTCTTTTATTACTCACAAGGGGATCAAAGGATTCAACTTGGAATTGCAGACCACACCCAGGAATATTGCCGAGGTCAAATGGCTCACTCGAGACTGCACTGGGAATTTATAAAAAACTGCCCTCATCACAAACTTCTTGCTTACTTCATTAAGACCATTATTTACTGGATTCTCTTGGATTTTCAGATACCGAATCACTTGATGTGGCTGTGCTTCTTCTATCTGTCCTTCCACTCAGCTCTCAATCTCATGGGTGAGCTGCTACACTTTGCCGACAGAAATTTCTACTGCGACTGGTGGAATGCTAATAACATTGACACCTTCTGGAGAACTTGGAATATGCCAGTGCACAGATGGGCTGTGAGGTAAATTTCATGTTCTATACGTTTCCATGGGGTTGAGGGGTTCCACCTTCAATACCTTTCAGCTTCGTTTAATATTCCCATTGTCAGTGAAGTTGCTGTCCACTTGCATGCACTTTATCATTTATTCCAGGACTTCCAGTAATCCATTAATTTTCGTTTGTGAATTGTTGTCTCCAGGTTGAAAATAAATATATTTAAAAAAATCCGCCAGAAAATAATTTAATGATTGCGCAACTTTTAGAATTGCATATTTCCCCAGAAAGTGGAATTGATTAATTAATACGTCGAGAGAGTTTCAAGACGATCCATGTAATTTATCAATTCAGGATATTTTATGCATATCATGAAGTATTCTTGCGAAATTCAATTGCATTATTCGTGACTTGCGAGTGAAAATCGAAGAAGTTCATTGGTTCACCTGCGTTATTACTAATCATCACTCTTGAACATTTCTACGTCATGCAGTCCGGCAGACGGTTTATGAAAGATTGAGAATCTAATAACGTTAGTCCATAACTGGGCCAGAAACTCATGAATTTCAATCGCTTCATCTGACTTAACATCACTCCAAATTACAGCGCATTCATTAAATATTCTGAGACCCTATAGTCGCGTTTCAGATTATCTGGAGGTAATGGAAAATCCAATACCACTCATTCGAAATAATGCTCTGAAATTTTTGTGGGGCCTCGCCATAATTCCATCAGCTATTTAAGATGCATTCAATCTTTTGTTTTTTTAATTGCTGACGTGACTTTTCTCTTTCTGGAATAAGTCTCCAACCCTCGGAATTTCTCCGTCGCTCTCATTAAGAAGAATTAATCCAGGTCACATTATTGGACATTATTAGACCAGATGAATATAACATAGAGGTGAATCTTTTTCGGGAAATTGTTCACATCATAATACTGACACAATTTATAATGGTTTAATTCCAGCGGTTTGCGGCTTAAAAAAACTCTATGAAGAATTCGAAAAATCGCGTCAAATAGTTTGGATATGTCGATGACCCGGAATCGAGAAAACCTCAAATATTATTTATAACTCTGAATATAGAGTGAACTTTTTCATATATATCATCGTTCTCTGAAATATAACCCGCGGAATATTACGATTGAAGCCTTTTAATTTCGATTTATATTGCGTCAAGATTCATGCAGTAGAGAAATATTACGTGTTGTTTAACCCACATATTTTACCGGCATAATTAATACGGAGCATAATAATAAGCGAAAGTTTGCATATTACACTTCTTTCCATAACCGGCAGTCTAGGTTTAAGATCCTAATTACCGACTCCATAATTCGAGCTCAATCTCTACCATCTGGACTATCCGCCTAAAGCCCTCCATCCAAATCGGCTGGATCCTCCCACATCTCCCACATCTCCCAAATTACCATACACTCATTAAATAATCTGTCCCCAAGAGTGCATCATAAAGTTGAGGACCAGAGTCAATAAAAAATCTCGTAACAATTTGGCCTCACTACCCCTCACCCTCCCACTTGACACCTCCAACTCAATCATAAACATTTCCAGGAATAATCCTCTCTCCATGTCTGAGTGAAATGTTAAAAATTAAAAGCCCCCGCGCCTTGCAATTGAGGATTAGGCAGTTTATTTTTTCATCCTCTCAACAACGAATTTTCATAAAGGAAAATTCAACGAGCGTCTTTCACACTCAGTTCCCTGTTCTCCACCCCCCGTCCTTTATCACTCGGCCTGGAGAATCTCAGCCTGCAACTGGCACGGGTCCATGCACAACCGAGAGGCGACTAGAGAAAGGTGGAGTGAGTGGAAAAGAAAGATGGAGGGCTGAGCAAACTCCAAAGGCGATTCTGTTGAAGGGGGAGTGAGGGGGTAGGAATGAAGAGGGGGTTTGAAAAAGTAGATGGGGGCTCACGTTTTCCGCGAACGAGAGGTGGGGTTGTAATGGGAAAAGACGATACGCATCGCATTGCCACACTTAAAGCTGTTTATACCTCCGAGAATCTACAATACTACTATGACGCCTGAGATTTTGCCAACTCCCCAGTAGACAAGAAACAAAAAAAAAAAGAAAAAACCACCCAGGAATTTTCCAATGGTGAAGTTGTGAAGAAGCGGCTGCGAGTAAAATGAAAAGAAGTGCATGACATACGTAAATATTCTTTGCTCTTTTCAATTTGCCTCGGGTCTTGGTGGTTTCTCTCATTTGTGGGTGGATCTTTTTTTCACACTCCTCGAGGTGGCTTTGCTAATAAGATTGCTAACGGCCCTAGGTGCTCTTCACTCTTTGATGTTGATGTTTTTTTTTCACAGAATTTTTTCTTCTTTCAGTGATGAGAGAATAAATTTCTTTTGCAGGCACTTGTACATTCCGATCGTTGAGATGGGATATGGCAAGACCACAGCAAGTGTCACTGTTTTTTTTATCAGTGCGTTCTTCCATGAGTATCTTGTCAGTGTGCCGTTGAAGACATTCAAGATCTGGGCGTTCTTGGGGATGATGGGACAGGTAAATTTCATGATTTGATTTCAGTTGTTTGTCTTGGTATGGGGTGGCCTCCAACTGTGAGGAGTTAATGAATAGGAGAATTGAAAATTGATAATGCCTTTTGGTTATCGACAGATACCACTATCAGCTATTAGCAAATACGTCGAGCGTCACTTCGGGGCACGTTGGGGCAATATCGTTGTCTGGTCGAGCTTGATAATTGGTCAACCACTGTGCATCATGGTGTACTATCACGATTACGTTGTGACCCATTTCGGTGAAACGCTCCTCGAAGATCACTCAATAGTGTAGTCCGAGTGATTCCAGTGGATAAGTCAATTCATTCATGGCAAGGGAGTCGATTAAGGAATAGCTCCACAAACTGGAATGCGTCAATCGAGCTGTACCAGAGATTATCGTCCACGGACTCTCATTATTTCTATTTATTTTTGTACTTGGGTGTGCCTGGGAGAATTTATCACGGTTTGCAATCGTTCCAGACAATCGTGCCAAAGGGAGTGTGCAACATACTGGAGAGCATCTCCAGAAATTGAGAGATTGTTTTGTATGTAAATATTACCAACACTGTTCATAATTACTCAGTGGTAACGAATTAACTCATGGTTTTTTTTATAACGTACTAGCATGGGGTGTTATCATTTTAGATCTAAAATCTGTATATTGAAAGAATCTTGAATATCTAAAAAAATTACCAATAATTTATGTTTTTTCTTCAATCAAATTCAATTGATAAATAGAAAATGGTATATCATATTATATTATATGATATACGCGCCGAAAAAAAGCTGATAAAAAACGGTACATCGTTCTTTTGTTTGTAAACTGTTATCGCTACGATTCTGTCAATATTTTTATATCAAAACTGAATTCCCGATAAATTTCCGCAACAGCCAAATGAGGATTTGAGCAGAGATAGTCATATCACCAAATCAAAAATAAAGTTATATAAATGAACACTCAACCAATCGATATAGATTGCAATGTCTGTTAGTAAATTAATCCCGAGCATCTGCAAAGTGTCCATTATACTATATAATAATAACCCAATGGATGGACCAGGGTATTCATTACCGAAATACTCGTTTAATTTTTATACCGATTAATTCTTTCCCAATATTAATATTTCACCAATCAATTTGAGCGATGTTATCAATTATGTGGCAATAAGGACTGCATTGGGCTCGTTAAAATATTAATTAACTTTCGTTAATCCCGGGAAACTCTCCGACTGACTTGACAATCGTGGAGCAATGTTATAATAGCCCAAGAATTGATGAAAATTGTTGGTGGAGTTGACAGACAGTTGGGCATGTGCTTTCACGGAACAAATATGAGGGAGCTGATACTGCTCTGACGTGACAGCAGTTGTGAGTCTCTTAGGGGAAAACACCGACGTATTTATCATGCTGACGTGCAGGGAATCGTCAGGGGTATTATAGTTGTACTGACAATTATTGGAATTTAAGATCGCTTTGCGAGTGCCATCAATCAGGTTTCATTAGACTGTCATATGCTGAATACAATAGTACTATTGAAAAAATCATTAATTTTTGGAGAATATAATTGAATTTTGGTAACACCGGAGAAAACACAATTGTTTGAATACGAGAAACCATTAGCCACGTGAACACGCATTTCCTACGGATGACTGAGTGAAATCGATATGGTGACGTTGAGATGATTGTGAGTGCGATATTTTCAACAGTCGAACACTTTTTTTTGTATGATATATTTTGGCTTTTCGTTCGATTTTCGAGAGGATTCGCAGTTTTGATATAAATACGTCTGTGGTTTCAACGTTCGCATAAAATTGCGGAATGGTCAAACAAGCTGGGATTTTAATAAAGAACATAAAAATATGACAGACCCGTCGACGTAAACCACTGGTTTATCAAAGATGCAGTCACCTGTTCCTAATTGTTATTAATTGCAATAAAACGTGAATAGTAATGAGTAGTTGTAGATAGAAGAGAGGGTGTTGTAGCCGCAGTAATGTGTAAAAGTAATGAGAAATCCGTTTGAATGAGCCACAGGCGCTTATTTCCATTCCCACCGAACTTGACTGAAAGTTGAATTTGGTAACGGGAAGTTGGTAAAGCGTCAGATCGTACTATCCTGGTGATGTAGAACGTTTCCTCCCCTGTCGTTTTAGCCGTGGCCCAGTGCGATGCTCACTGTGTGTTGAATTCAACGGATATCCAACCATGGAGTTGGCATCTCTGTCTCACGAGTATCTCCGAGACTTTTCGTACCACCACTGATACCCTGGGTGATTGGTGTTGGTGTGGATCCACAGGAGGTACGCCTGCGTGAATTCAACCTGGGGTGGAACAGTGGGGCAAACCAGCATCATACAGTATGGGCTGGGGGGTAGAACGGGCGAAACACGATGGTATAAGGGAGCGGACGCGTCGCGACGCCTCTGCAGTGAGCGCCGCGACGCCGATCTGTACGCTGTTGTCTTGATAACGTATAGCTCCTGCGGCTGTTTGTCGTGAACACGAGGGTGACGTTCATTTACTTTATTCTCAGATTATCCCGGAATAGTGACCGGCGATTTTTCCTGGATTCGTCATCGCTCACTGGAGAGGTTACGTCGGAGATTCGCCGTCTGGAGAACCCTCAACAAGGTACATTTTTGCTATAACTTCTCTTTCAATATTTGTCCTCGGTAAAGCCCTGTCATTCTATTCTTCCTCGACCTCATGCCACAGTGTCAGTCTTCTCTGACAGTTAAATTGAAACAGTTTGATGAGCTCTCGGGTTCGGAACGAGTCAAGTAGTGCTTGATTCAACGATCTGTCAGAACACGCCTCGGGTGGATAAAATGTTTGCACGTATCTGTCACGGGAAAACTCGACGGCTTCAATGAATCATTGACAATTGTTTGTTTTACTTTTCATTCTATTTTTTGTTTTGATTCTTTGGGGAATTTATTCGCATGTTTTTAGTTTTGCTGTGACGTGGAATCGATGTGTCGATTGAGTGACGGGCGAATGGAATCTGGGATTCAGCGAATTGCTGGATACTTGGGACAAAATTTTGCGGGGTTGTGACCCTATTCGAAAATATTGTCATGGATCAAATGTCGGGATAACGAGGAAGATTTTTTTTTTCGGGGTTTGGAATGTGATTGTCATGGATGACTATCCCTCCCGGTAACAATGCGCCGGTTTTAACGTCATCAATAATTTTCGAGTGGTGTTTTTCAGAAGGGAGAAATATTCTCTCGTAATTCTATAATGATGGATTTTCACGTCATAATTCACGCCGCGTTGGAAAAATAATGTCGATCGCATAAAAAAATTATTCAGCAGCTCGCTGTTTAATCAAGAACACTTCTGTCCATTTGAAGAATTATCATTTGCCATTTGTCCCTTCGCGGAGAAGACAAACTCCCTGTTGAATTCGGAAGCACGTTCAACGAAAGCAGAGAATCCCTCTCAGCTATCATTTATCTCTGCTTCATTTTCTCGAGCATCAATGCGAATGCCCTCTCAATGAAAATAATTCTTCAAGTAATGGTGAATTCTTCATTCTTAGGTTCTGAATACACCGAGATGATTTTTGCTCGAGGAGTATTTTTAGTATTACAAAAAATGTAATGCATTCTTTTTAAATTGGTCCTTCAAGAAAAATGAGAGCGGATGTCTGACGAGATGTCCTAAAAATGCATTTTTTTTTGTTACAGTGCTCGATTAAGATTTCAGTTCATTGAAGAATTAGAATTGAACATTTTATCTAGGAAGAAAAGGAGAAACTCTCCGTCGAATTCTAGAGCACGTTCCTACCAGTTAGTCCCCCACCATCATCCATCTCCTCTTCGTCTTCCTCAGCATCAATGCAATGCCCTCTTCACAGGAATAATTCATCAGAAGTAATTGTGAATTCTCATCTTCCCCGGGCAAATACTCCAAGACGAATTTTCATAATTTTTTTTCATACTCGCCATGAGGAAAATTTATTACCTCATTTTTTATCAGCCCAACCAACTTTTGATCATGTTGGACAACTTGGTGTACAAGTTACGTTTCTTGCAGAGTCATGGACTTATTACTGATGGAATATCTGTAGACCAAAAGTTTTCCAATGGTTTGGGATGAAAGTTACGAGAGCCCTTCACACTGTATCTTTGATACTGTACATGATCCGGATTACGAGATGCATTACGTCCCTAAGCCAGCGATAACTAAGAGTAAGCATATCTAGATGTGCTCTCTATTTTTCAAGCTATCGATGCGATAAGCCTGATAATGCTATCGTATATCCACTCTCACCTTTTGAATTACAACGACCATAATTCTTGTTTACCTCCAATACAACCAATTATTCACGTTTCGCACTGTTCTAATTAAAACCATAAACGGAAATTCATACGGGATAAACACGACAAAATATGATATTTTTTTTCCTCTTTCAAACTGCGAAGCTGTGTTGAGCGATGGAAATAGTGAATTCCAGGTATGAATTGATGTCCTTCCGGCGGACATTAATTTCAATGTTGCATCAGCAAGCAGACAAATTATTCCCAATATATTGAATATAAAAAGTGCAATGAATAATATTGATGAAACCTCAATGAATAAATCATCATCTATGTTCGTAATGCGGATTGAAATTAAACATACCAATGTAATTCCTGTATGCCAGGAATGAAGTGATAAATTCGATAAAATTTCGAGAGGAGTTAATTCGAGCTATTGACAATTTATAGAAATGATTATATTGAGGAGTAGATGGAAAATATGTGGATTAAAGTGGCATTTGTGAAGATGAGATTAACTACGAGATTGCATAAGGGTTTCCAAACTTGGACACTTCCACTACCTGGGGATAGCACGCGACCCGGAATTCACCAGAACTCTGACCGGAAATAGTGAATGCCATGGAGTCCCTTTGATACCCCCCATTCACACGAAAGTTGGTAGCAAATTCACTTGAACGTAACACACACGAGCACAGAGTAGCTGTAGTGAGTTATTTAGTGTGGTCAGGGGACGATTTATCACGCTAAGAATACGTCTTCAATCTTTTCAATGCATCCCATCAATTTCCAACATATTGAAGAGCAATCGTTTTGCCTCGGATGCATTCATAGTATTCTTGAGAATAAATTTTCCTATTCAGTGAGAATAAAGAGGACTGGAGAATAAATAAATAAAAATAAAACGTCGTAAATAGTGAAAATGTTCCAAAAGATGGGGTTTCAAAGGAGATTCGATGAGGCCGCCCTTTCAGACGTTACATACCAAAGCCACAGACCCGCGGGATTGCTTTCAATGATGTCTAGTGTATACGGTAGTGGAAAATGGCGGGTGAATGCATTTTATCAATCACTTCTTTTTCAAATGAACGAAAAAAAAACTATTCATATGAAATTTTATAGAAAACGCCAGTCAAGAATTTATAGGATGATTTTAATGAAGTCCTGTCTGACTATTGGAATCTGTACGTACTACTTGACCTTTATTCAACCCCATTAGGATTCCATGACCTTTACGCGACCTTTCTATCACTCATCAGACCCCCGAGAGCCCCGTCATCCTTATGATCTGGATATGTAAAATCCGACTGTCCTAGATGTTGGATAAATAAGATTCTGAGCTTCATAAGCCCCGGGTCTGGATCCTCATCACAATTCAGACTTGACATTCCACATGCCCATAAGTCAATCTTCACTAATAAAAATTTCTTGAAATACCTGTCATAATGTCATTTGAATTTTCAATTGATCGTCAGTTTAAATTCAAAGGCCCGTGTAATTTTCCGAGTAAATTTCGATAACTCCCAGTCCCCAATCATTGAAATTTCGTTATAATTTTTCCCATTTGCATCTCTCAGTCTCATCACCCAAGCCGTAAAAAAGTACAACTGATTACATTTTTTTTACGCGCACATCCTCTCCTCATTTTTTACCTCCACCAGAGCATTTACATGGTATAAAGTAAATTCAGTGACTCGACCGC